TAGAAAAAGAGCTGGTGAAATTTTGGTTGGGAAAGTTTTTAGTCACATTTTTTTTTGACAGTGTTGCTGAACTAAGTTTATGTAGTTTTCATCTTTATTAAAGTTGGTAAATAAGTAGAGAACTTGGGTGCATCTGTGGAAGTTGTCAGAAGATCAAATTATCAAGTATAATATTGGGACAGAGTTGAAGTGCAAAAAGGAAGAACTGAAAGAAATGCAGATTCATTAACCTACAGTAATTCAACATCAGAAATATGAAAATACTAGAAAAATTGACTGTCGCTGGCAACTGTTATAGATGAGTGATAATTTGTAATTTTACATCCGTCAACAGCTTAAAGTTCCAATTATATTTTTCTTACCTCTTTGGTCCAAAAATATTTTTCTTTTTTTTCTCATTTTGTATTACTTTCATTTTATCTAGCAAAGCACTTAAAATAACAACAATTGCTCTGGCAACTGTAATTTTTTCTTTGTTTTTTTGGATACTTGACATTTATGAACGATCTCCAGAAAGAAGGAGGTTGAAAGGGAAAAGTCATGAAAGAAGGGGGTTTTCTGTAAAAGATCAAATGTCAAAATAAAACTTTCATTAGAACGCCTAAATTTTATGTTTATCCTTACTTTTTCTTTGAATTCATTCTCAAATAACGTGTTATCACTGAAAAATTGAACAGGAAATGCCTAAAATATGGTTGTATGAATATATCTTTTAGCGGATTCCATTATAAGCAATGTTCTCCAGTCACTTTTCCTTTGAGGAATTATATTCGAATAGTTTAGACTGAATATGACGAAGTAGCGGTATTTGTGAACTCTGAGGGGTGATTTTGGCCATTTTAGTTGCCGAAAAGTGCGGAAGGGCAAAGGGTTTTTTTTTTAAAAGTGTCAATTGTTTTGAAATTACTGTTTCAAAAAGAGAGCTATACGAATTGAATTACACATGATATTTTTTCATCAATTTTCTTTTGGCATGTTATGATCTTTTAACTACGTTTGAAAGGATGCAGATATTGGGTTTGTCAAACTTTAGTTGCTGCTTTTCCTTAAGGTTGGGAAACATTATCACTTATTCGATATTTTCAAAAAAGCATATTCTGATATTTATTTATTACCCGGATAAAGATGAATTTTTATGTTTGGAACATATCTATCCGCCTACCATTTAAAACCAAAGAAAAAAGAGGATACTGAGGAATGTGAAGGAAGCAATGTTTGATTACAGCAGAGTTTCGACAGGGATTGTTTTACAGGTTATGCTTTAAGAAAACAAATACACTTGCAAAGGTTTATATACTTTTATTTATTGATGTTTAATAGTTTAAACTATAGTGCTTATATCGGTAATCTGAACTCGAATTGAAGGGAAAAAAAGAAGGAAGAATTTGTTGGCTGACTTTTTTTTGCTGGTTGTGTAAACAAATATATTCATGGAAAAAAAAAAGGTAAGAAAAAAGTTTAATGGCTGATAATGTTAATAAATTTTTTTTCTTCTCTTTTATCAAAAAATTACTCTTTTTTCTACCGGCATAGACTCTAAGTACAGATATGGTTTTCATTAATGTTGTTCTTTGGATGATCTTTTTTTGCTTCTTAAGTTTTTATGAGAGCAGATACATTTTCAAGGTAATTTTCAATAAAAAAAATAGAAAAAGAATAGAATAGAAAGAAGAGGGGGAGGAAGATTTAGAAGTACAGAAAAAAATTGCTTTGATACAACAAAACTGTATGCAGTCTATGGATGTGAAAAATTAAACTGTGTTCCTTCAGTTTCTTTTAGTTCTTTAAATTTTTCTATTAGTTGGGTGGTTTTTTTTTCATTTTTCTTTCACAAATTATTCTATTTTTCTTATATTTAAAAATAACAATAATTAACGGCTAGGAATTTTTGTTTTTAATAAATTGATGGTTGCTGAAAGAGAGAAAAGAATTGTTGATTATAGTGCCTCAAAGTTTGTTAAATGTGCTTTTTTTGCATGGAAAACAAATGAGATATTGTTTTCTGGTAAAGTGGTCAAGTCAAAGGCTCAAAATCTGCGATATTACTGTATTTACTGTTATCAAACAGTAATTTATTTCACATTTGTTATAGTCAAATTATTGCACTATCAGCGATACAGTATAACCGCTGTTAACTGTCATTATGGTTTTTTTGCTGATGAAAGGGAAATTTATTTTATAATATCGGTAGCAGAGCATCAAATTACTAAAGGCATTGAATTGGGAGAGGGAAAAAAACTTCAGATTCTTTCATTGAGAAATGAGCTGTTTGAGGTTGAAACAGGTCTTGAAAAAAAAGGAAAGAATGAAACACCTACGATTATATACTGTAAAAAAATTGGTTTTTTAAGATCATTAGAGTTTTATTGGTCAATGATGATTAGGATATGGATTTATAGAGACAAGAAAATGGCTACTGAAAAGTATTTGTAAAGTTTGATCTGCAAAAAGTTTTCCGTTTTGTTGATTATTTTGGAGCCCGAAACACTTTAACCACAGCCAAATAAAGGCGAAGTTTAAATTGAAAGAAGAAGACAGGAAGATGGAGAGTGCCAGTATGAAGTAATTTCTATCAGAAATCTAAATTCCTTCCTTTATAGATTTTTTTTGGATTTCTGATTTTATAAAAACAGTTCTTTGAAAAAGTCAAATCGGCACTCATTGGTTGGTAAGCAGTACCAACAGTTCATTTTTTTTTTTACTGAAAAAAGGATTATGTGGCGGTGACTTCCGTATCACCAATGTACTGTATCCTTGCGGGAAGGCAGAAACATTTTAGCTTTTTTATTAGCAGGGCTGGGTATCCGTTTGGCTTAATGTATCTGACACACTGATGACAGCAGTTGTATTTATCGTTATGGTAGCGACAGTGGTAGGCAAAGTACTTTTCTCTGCTTCATTGATTTCGATTAATTCATTATTTTTGTTCAAAATCGAAATTTTTATATACGGAGAAGAAACGGATTGAATATTTTTTTCGTTATTATTATTATTTTTTTTTTTTTTTAGATTTATTCTGATACTGCCTTCCAAACAGAGTTTTTCGTTCTTTGCTTCCGCCTTTTTTTTTTTTTACGTAAAATTAAATGCAATAAGCAACTTTTTTGTCGAGACGGAAATTGATAAATAGTAAAGTTTATTGGTTCTGTTGGCTAATCTGTATAATCATTTATATTCGGCAGTTTGGCAACAGCTAAAACAACTTTGTAAAATTTTACATACTTTAAAATTTTTGAAATGAAAAGATTCGGCTTGTTATATGCAGAATTTCTTTGGCATGATTGTATGAATTGTATACGTGGTGATCCAAATTATCATCTCTCAGTTTTACACTTATTGTTTTCCTTCATGCAGACTGCAGTGAAGAATGGATCTTAAATGTACAACAAAACAGATGTGGTACATCTGTGATGCTTTTTGGGCCGTAAAAAGTAAATGTAGTCAGTCGTATAAATGTTAGGATATGATAAGTATTTGACAGCAATTCACTGGTGTCTAGGTACTTCTCATTTCGACTGTAAAAAAGTTATTTTTTTAGTAGCTGCTAATATTTGCACCTATTAAGCAGCAGCTGAAATAGCCGAAAGTAGTGAAAAATTGAAGTAAAAGTTCGATTTGTAATTTTATCAAAGAAATGCTTTAAAATTTACAGTTTTATCCAGGATACAACGAAAATAATCATTCATTTTTGTTCCTTTATATATAACGCTATATTTATGATTCATCTTGTACAGCTTTTGCTGCATCACTGTTCGATGGATAGATATATAAATGGAAAATTGAGCTAGAAAGTGAACAGACTCGAGCGTAACTTTGGGCTATGGCTTGCAGTTGATAATGCCACAGCCTAAAGTTACGCCCGGGTTTTTTCACTCCATCGATGGTTTATCTTCATACTAATATTTGTAAAAACAGACTGAAGATATGGTTCGTCAAATTCTTAGCAGCAGCAATTTTTTATAAATAAGATTTTTGCAATTTTAGCTAGAGCAAATTTTAGTTGATGTGTAGCTTCCGAAAGTGGTTTCTTCGTCATCCAAAGTAGCACATATTGCAGTTGTTTAATCTTTGATTTGTAGTTGCTACTAAAAGGTTTCTCTGAGGTAAAATATTGGAAAATGATTAAATGATATTGGATCTTCCGTAGAATGGAGTTTTTTTTCTTCACTGGTTAGACTAGTTTGCCTATTTTGAGAGGTTGCAAACCGAAAAAAAAAAAAACTGCTTGGTTGGTGGACGTTTTTGTATCTGTAGTGACATATTGCAGTGAAACTGTTCGTCATCTCAACAGGTCCATATTAACGTACAGCAAATAAATAACGTAAATAGTGCTTTTAAGTATGCGCGCTGATGGTGTGAAATGAAAAGGTGGGAAAAAAAAGGAGGAATTAATTTCATTTGTAATCGTTATAATTTATCTGATGCGTTTGTGAATCTCTGGCGTTTTTTTTTGATGGCTGTTATGTTAATAAACTTTTTGATTGTGCAGCAATATTAATTTTTTTACTTTTTTATTTTATTTATTGTATTATTATTGACTGATACTTATTTACCTTTCAAATTCTTTCACGCAAAGTATTGCGTTGGTTGATATTAACATCGTTGTTATTTGATACCAATTTCTTCGTCTTTTTTTTTTTTTCTTTCAACTGCTGATCTTTTTGCGCATAAATGAACAGCGGAAAAAGAAGGATCAGGAGTTGATTGTTTCTGGAATCTGTTGTGCATGGTTCATTTGCTTAAATCTTTGTTTTAGAAATATTTGGGTGATAAGACAAATTGGTATTGAATGTTGATTTTTATACTGATTTATTTGTATAGCGAACAGTTACTCATAGGACATTATGTTACTGCTGTCTTACAGATGGTTTTAACTCGTGCTTCCCACTCGATCTCTTTTTATTTCCTTAAATAACCGTTTTTTTATCATGTTGATATTGACTTTTTTTCAGGTGCCATAATTGCTGTAGCGTTAGTACCATTGGATTGTTTCGCATTGGATGGATGCCACTGAAGGGACCTATGAGGTTATTTTTAATCTTACAAAAGCATAAGCTTTATAATTTTCTTAATTTTTTTATTCAATAATTTCGCAAAGCTGGACGATTTGCCTGTGGTGCCAGTCCTGGCTTTTTTGTACGGCTGTTTAGAAGTGCAAGAAAAAAAGCATTATGCATCTAGATGTGGTGGTAGTTCAAACTTAAATTTGTTTTTCTCTTCTCACTCTAAGTGTTTGGATTGCAACAGCAACATGCATTCCTTCCTTTTTTCTTTTTTGCTTAAATATTGCTCAATCGAGGTATTTCGAATGGCTTAATATTGCACACAGGTGAATGGCGGATGTAATTAATGTTTTATTAATATCAAGAATAAGATTTGATGTTGGATGACAGGATAGGTAACTCGAAAAGAGTAGATGGTGATGTACCAGAGGGTTCACTCAAACACTATACCAGCTTTTCGATTTGTTTTTACCTTTAATTGGTGTTAAATTGAAAGAGGATGTAGCTCTCGCCTTACAACACGTTTAAAACACTTTTGTTAGGTCGAAGATATCGTGGATGAGCGTATTGGCGAAGACGGACGTGAGGAGTTCCGAGTAAGGTGGAAAACATATGGTGAAGACGATGATACTTGGGAACCTATTGAGAACCTTGATGACTTCTGTACACAGATGATTGAAGCAATGCGGTTGAAGAAAAAGAATTTACAGGAAAATGCTGAGCCATTGCTCCCTATCCTTGAAATTAAGAGTGAAATTCCAGAAACTGCACAAACGGTTTTAATTTTTTGTCATAGTTCTAAATAAGACATGCCTGAGGAAGTGTGTAGGGTTACTGAGTTTTTGTCAAAAATTTCCACTTTTTAGTTAATTGTGCTTTTGAACGTTTTGGAAGGTAACCTGGATACACATTTTTTTTTTTTTAATTTGATGAGAACTCTTTCCGTTTTTTGCATATTTTTTATCTATTCGCTTGTTAGATTTGCTTTTAAAGTAACACTAGAGGTGGTTTTATTGGGATTGCGTGGGTAGCTGCATATGCTATTCAGGCGTGATTCTTTTTATGCGGTTACGTCATTTATATATTATCTTTAGAGGATGACGGCCATTAGGAATTTGAAAATTTTTTTTGTTTTCCGAGTTGCTTTGCATCAACATATTACCCCAACACTGTTCTGATGTTTAAATTGATTTAACGGAAAATTTCATGTTAGCGTCTTGTTGGATTTT